AAATATATAGAAACCACTCTACAGAGACTTAGTGATCAAGCCAAATAACTGTCCCCAGACCAGATTATACACAGGAAAGAGAAAATAAAATGCAATGCTCAATATTGGGAGAAAAATCCTTAAATTGTCTCAGGAAATGCTTTTGATATGAGAGATTTAAAACGAGCCATAAAATACAGCAGGGACAAAATACAGAGACCAATAGATCCAAAATTAGAAATAAAATTTGACAGCAATTCACAGTAAAAAGGAACAAACAACACTGAATTTAACATCCAGTTCAATGCTTTACATAGCACCTTTCCTGTAAAAATAAAGCTGTCAAAGGAATTTAGAAAATATAAGTATTCAGAAATGAAGCGAATGTTTGTCATAAAGATAAACATGGCAGCCAATCTTGCTAGCAAATCGCATAAGCAACCAATGAAATAAAAGGCAAGCAAGGCAAGACAAAACAAATCTTAAAGGAAGATAAAATAAAGTGAAAGATAAAAAGATAATGAACTTATTGTACTGGACAGGGAGAGATTTAGAGGTGCAGTCCCTCTGAAACTTCTACTGCTTTCTTTGTGTGATAGCATAGATAGCGTCTTGGGTTGTTTGAATTAGTGCTCTCCCTGCAGGCCAGGTGAAGCTGTATCTTTCCTTCCTTCTGCTCTCTCTCTCTGTGATAGTTAATTCAGACCATTAATTATAGGCTAACTAGTTACCTGAAACATTCTTACCAAACCCAGGTATCAGTACAAATGATTATGTGAATTGAAAAACTATAAAAGACCTATCTGATCCAAATTATTCTATTGAAGCTGAGATCATGGAGGATTGTGGGTGGGGGGGATCTGAAATGTTTGTTGGACTGACTAATAGTGAACGGGTGGGGGGGAGGGAGGAACCGTGTAAGTACAAGTGGTCCTCATTCTGCAATTAACCAATGAAAAGGGACTCAGAATCAGGTGGTTAATGACAAAATTACCAGCATTTGTTTGCATTTGGTTAGTCCGGCAAAGCGTGTTTGATTAGCCCAATCCCCCTTAGTGTAAGTTATTGCTGTCTTAGAAGAAATTTCACATCAGCACTAAACACAACAATAATATCATGCTCCTATCTGAGGCTGGGTTCTTGGTGACTTTTCAGTCTACTGTGTTAGATCTTCTTGGGAAGTCAGTGGGGTCTCCTTGAAACTGAACTGGCTCAAAGGTGATCTGCTTGACAACTGAACGTGGGAATCAAGCCAGCCCTCTGTGGCGGTCTCAGTAGTCCAGTTCCTAAGCCAGGCAGGTCCGCAGTATTCCAGGGCACTGCTGATAACAGCACAGCCAGCCATGGTGCATGGGCAGCACTTGGAAAGGGCAGACCAGTCACTGGGGGCAGGGACCCTTCCCACTCAGCTCCTGTTAACTCTGCAACTAAGAGCCCTCATGGATAGGGTAGTTCTAGCTGGACGAGCAGCGGGAAAGCTTGCCAGGCAGTGTTCTCAATGGCAAGCTATTCAGTTTTAGCTGGTTAGACTCCAGCAGCACATTCTCTCCTACGTCTTGTTCAGCTGCAAAATATTGTTTTCTTTGTTTGTATATTCTAAATTGAAATCTGTTATGGTTTGAGCTAAACAGATACAAAGTGAAATCTGTTCCAATTGTGATTGTGGGGGGAAAAATAGGTGGCAATAAATACGGTTTATTACATATCTAAGTGTGTCAGTCATTTTTTCCTGTTTTCTTTGTGTTACATTGTCCAATGGTGTGGAAAGGAAATGGCCTCAATAGTCCTATTTCCTCCCAATTCCTCCATTTCCTCCCAAATACTCTGACAGTTTTCCAGTAAACTGATACAAAATAATACTTGGAATTTTTTTTATAAATCGCAGCGTTTATTTTATGACTTGAAATGGGACATTGCAATGACAGATTGATTTGTCTCATTTTTTTGGGGGGGGTGTCAATTAGATATCAGGTACAATGTGGAAACCTTATCACCATGCTGAAGAGTATTCAAACCAGAGTTACACCCACATATGTATGGCATCTACACATGGAATGGAATGTGTACTCTCTCCTTAGAGGGATGCTGGCAGTTTACTGAGAGTATTAGGCACACGTTATTGACAACCAAGGCTTGGGGTTGTGTTGGAGCTTAACCAGCTAAAACCTTATAGCTTGCCATTGAGAGCACTGTCTGGCAAGCTTCCTGCTGCTTGTTACCCTGCCTGTGAGAACTTTGGTTTAGGGTTCCCACAGTGATTGTTCCGTCCTTGCATAAGTAGTGACAAACAAATATATTTTAAAAATGCCCTAATAATTTGTGAAATAATTTAACAATGAATAGGAATATCACACATTACCTGGAAGCACCAAAAAGCATTATATTAGCTCCTTCATCCTCTGTGGAATTGCTTGGAAAATGGAGTCTGTGGAGTTAAAATGTGAATACAATCCAGACTGACAAGGTGAATGTTTTCTCTCTGGCAGATGTAAGAGTGAAATTAGTTTCAATAGCCTCTTTGCATTTAGTTTCTAGTGGGTGCAAATTGTAGAGCACAAAACTGCTGAACTTATAATTGACCATGTAGGAAAGGAAAAATGTTGCACGGATGCAGTTTTGAGCGCTTTTGCAAAGCTGGGTCATGGTGTATTGTTGGGCAGTGTGGCGAGAGCTTTACATTATTAAAAATTTAGGAGTACTTCATGCTGACATTAAACCCCAAAAATAGAAAGTGTTCAATTTCCGCAATTCTGACATCTTTCACCTCCATAATCATACAAATATTAATTTTAAAATCAACAAAGTTAATATCTTGTTAGTGTAACCAATACTACAAACATATACATTCTTAATAGGAGGAAAATACTTTCAGCTAACATTACTAAGTGGGCAGATGAGAAGGAACAGACTGTCGGACAAGTAATTGTGATTTTATATATTAATAACTTTGCATTTATTATAATAGAATGTCTGCTTCACTCTCTTAGTTGTGCTTTGTAGAGCAGGCATTTTCAAGATGCACAACCTGCATTTTGTAAATGATATCCTATCTTTTAGATGAGATGTTAAACTGAGGTCCCATCTGCCTGTTCAGGTGGATGTTAAAGATCCCATTGACACCATTCAAAAAGAGGAGAGTTGTTCCCGGCCAACAATCCCTCAATTGGTCATTTACTCCATGTCTGTTTGTGGGTCGTTGGAGTGTGCAACTGGCTGCCACGTTTTGCCCCAAAATACACAGTCAATCTACAGTGAATCAAGGGAAGCATTTTGAGATGTCTGGAACTCCATCCCCCAGTGCCTTCGCCGCTTCCTCCCTTTCCTCCTTCAAGGCCGGTCTCAAGACCTTTCTCTTCAACCGTGCCTTCACCTCCCCTTTCGACTCTCTACCCCCTCCTCGCTCCCTCCCTTCCCTCCCCTCACCCTGACCATTTCCCCCCTGCTCGGGTCCTGACCCAACTGTCCAGCGCCTTGGGACGTCCTCCCGACGTGAAAGGCGCTCTATAAATGCAATCTTGTTGTTGTTGTTGTCTCGATGACTATATCAAATACAAGGATTATTATTTTTATTATTATATACTGCTCAAATAAAATACCACAACCTACATAGTTCGATATTAAGTAGGGCATATACTTAATAAATCTATCTAAGTATATTTAATAGATAACATTCATGCTACAATATTTATATCTCTCACGACACCTACACACACCATATATTACTTGGTCATTAACCACTTTGTTCTGCTGCTGCTGCTGCTCTATTTATTCTCCCGTGTCCATTGTAGAAATTCTTCAGAGCCTCTCTGCATGTTTGAGTTATATCTAGTTGTATTAGTAACTAATCAAATGTCTTGGTTAACAAAAAAGAGTGATGCACCAGTGCAGAGACATTAACAATTTGGCAACAAAAATGGCAGTCGTTCTTGTCGTGACTGAAGTTCACATAACCATTCACATATCAATCAGGTTTTTGGAAATACTTCAGAATTCTCCACACTATGGAAAATGTGGTTTGGTTATAGAGTAGATTACATCACTTGAATGATGATTGCACTGTTCCAAAAGTTTACTTCTGGTCATCATTAACATTGGAGCCACACTCTTTACCCTTTAGAGAATAAGCTGAGAAGTCACTCTATGTTCCTTTCTTTATGCTTTTGTTTGAAATATTTTAAAATACAAGTTTATTAATATGTAACAGAAACAGCTGGCTTGGTAACAAGTTACTGACGTTTCGAGTTTATTACAGTATTTAAATTACCTTTTTGTTCTATAATTAAAATTATGAAATCAAGAGTTTACCCAAAATTCAAACTATATTTTCCCCTATTGCCTGAATTCACCAATGCCTCCACCCTGACCTCACTAAAATCCTTTTCTACACCTTTGTCATCTCCAAACTTGAATTCTCCAATGTGCTCCTTGCCGGCCTATCTAATTCCATCCTAGCTCAGATCCACACAACCCAGAAGTCTGCAGCTCCTTTCCTTTCCTGCATCACGCTCTATCCTGTCACACCCTACCTTGCCAGGTTCCATTGACTATCTACACCCAGTGGATTGACTTCTGGATCCTCATTCCGTCTTCCAAATATCAAAACCTTGTTAGTCCTAGTCACTCCCTTGCTTCCTCCCTCCCCCTCCAGCCACTGATCTCCTGCAGCCCCACTTCTCTACCCACTCCCACTGTTCTGCAAACTCAGGCTTGCTTCACGTCCCTAACACTTTTGCCCCACCATTGGCTGGTAAGCTTTGAGCCACTTTTGTCTATCTCTTTCTGGAACTCTCTCCCTAAATCTATCTGCCGTCCCGCCCTCTCTGCTTCCAAAACCTTTTTAAAAATCTATCTCTTTGACTGCACCCACCCCACCCTATCATGCTTTCTGCTCACGCCCCTGCTCTGTCTCTGAAACGCTTCAAAATATTTTTGTATAAAAGTGAAAGTTCTTGTCGAGGTTAAGTATTTTAATTTATTCATGATTTCTCTTTATTAATCACTTTCACTGGATTCTTTATCAGTGGAGATGGGATCAGAACAAGACAGTGGAGTTGCTGATGATATCATGGAAATAGAATCTGGCGACAGAGAAGAAACTGCATCAGTAAAAAGTAGTAACAGTTTTTATCAGAATTGCTCACAGCACTCAACAGCGTCAGAGGACGACCTGTTAAATGTTGATTCTGGGACTCCAAGCTCACCATCTATAGCTTCCCCAGCTTCTCTCACTGGCAGCCTCAAATGGAGCCATGAAACTGATGTATATCAACCCCCGAGTTCCTTGGATCAGATAAACAGGACAGAGGAATGTTCAGCATGGAGCATCGATCTACCTTCTGCTGCCTATGAAGAACTAAGCTGTGCTGGGAAGCACCACACCAGGTACGGATCTCTTATTACAGACAGACAATATGATGTCACTTGTCACCAATACTCTCGCAGCCACACTAAATAGTGTTTCAGGAACCGTGGACTGTTTAAATAATATTAAAACTTTAAGTTGACAAATAATAACCTTTAGGAGAGAAGGCGATGTAAATCAAGAATTAGTAATTAATTGACGCCAATCTTTTGAAGATTGTAGTTAGTGGGAGAAAGAGAAGATTGAGAAAGGTAAATATTTCTACAGTCTTGAACACCAAAAAAAGAGTTAAGACTCAAAAGAAGTGTGACTTGATTTCAATACAGTGAGAATGCAGAGAGGAGGTAGAATTTTGATGTGAGGTAGGGCTGACGAGGTTTATATTCACCAGAGCAGAGGAAGCTAAGGGGTGATTTGATTGAAGTATTCAAAATTGTAAAGGAATTGACGGGTGAGCTAGTGGATGACTGTTTCCTCTTCTAGAGGATCTGGTCCGACAATTGGCATCACCTTAAAATCAGAACCAGGAAGATTAGAACTGAGGTCAGGAAACATTTCTTCACACAGTGCATTATAAAGATGTGGAATGCTCTATCCCAGAAAGCTGAGGGTGAATTAATGGGGATGTTTAAAAGAGAACCAGTCAGATACGTAGGTAATAGAGGTATTAAGAGGTATGACGAAAGTAGGATTAAAAGATCTGACAAGGCCTAATAATAAACTGTTGGCTTGATGGGCTGAATAGCTTCCTTCTGTTTTTTCTGTTTCCTAAGAATATGTGGACATCACATTTGGAAACCAAGAGAAGAAGGTTCAGAGGAACGATGATTGTCATGGTGTCAATAAACTAGAGATATAAATAACATTTTGTGGCAGGAAAGATAAGGAAGCAAGGTGTCAGCTGATCGAGAAATGGAATGACCCTGGTAGAACTGTGGAAAGGATCAAAGGGAGATTTTTTTATAGATCTCCTGACTGATGGAGTAATAGAGGAATGTATATAACCTGCAGATCAGGGAGGCTTGTAAGAACATAACTATAGTGGTAGTAGAAAATTTTAATTTGCACTTGGATTGGGAGAGTAATGACAGAACAGGTTGAAAAGGCAGTTCATTTCATGAATGTACAGAAAAACTTTTCTGAAATAGAATGTCTTAAAAGCAGCAACAGAGCAGGATACACTCACCTCAGTTATGTGAGTACTGAAGGAGCATTGGTTGTCAGGTGCTGGCATTAGGATTATATGTTAAAACAGGGCCTGTCCACTGAATCAGGTGGATGTTAAAGAGTGGAATTAGAAATGGAGTAGAAATGGAGTACCTCCCGGTGTCCTTTCCGACAATCCCCCAGATAAAATTACAATAATAATAATCTTTGCATTTGATATAATGCCTATTATGTTGGGAGGAACCTCAAAGTGCTTCACAGGATTTATTATTAAATGTAGTGACTGTATATTTTGTAGCTCCTGAACATGACAGCCAATTTGCACACAGCAATGTCCAAAAACTGCCATTGAATGAATTATCGATTACATCTGGGAGATTGTTGGCCAGGACAGTGGGAGAAACTCCTTTCTCTTTTTGAATAGTGCCTTGAAATCTTTAACATGCACCTGAATAGGTAGATAGAACCTCTGTTTAATGTCTCATTGAAAGGAAGGCACCTCCAGCAATGCAGTGCACTGCCAACATTGCATTGAAGTGTCATTTACTTGGTCATTTACTTCAGGGCTGTTTGTGAGACATTGCTGTGTGCAAATTGGTTGCCATGTTCGTCTACAAATACACAGTCACTACACTTTACAGAAAATCCTGTGAAGCACTTTGAGACGTTTAGATGACTATATCAAATACAAGGATTATTATTTTATCAAGGAAATAATATGAAGAACAAAAGGGGATAAATAAAAATATTTGCAGATGTTAAGTTTGTTGATGACTAAGCTCAGAGGCATATTAAATTGTGAAGAAGAGACAGAAAAATTGCGAAGGGTCACAGATTAAGTTATTAGGCAAATATAGGTCCATCCTATTACAATGCGTCATATTTTAGTGCAGGTTTGCTAAGCGCCTTTGCTATATGGAAAACATGCTACATTTCTTCCTGAGCTGACTGGCTTCCTGCGCACATACAGCGGGCAAGAAGTGATGAGAGCAGTGATCTGATGTCCCAGAGGCACTGACTGGGGGCCATTTGTTAGCATGCCTCTTTATAAAGCAGGGTCTGAGTTTATGGGCCAAAACCACTGCATTAAAACGGGGTTACAAGATCTCAAGAGAAGGTTGGATGGAGACAGCCCTTTGGCCCAGTTGAACTCATTCTTCTAGAATACCCACCTGATATCTTGGGGCGAGTATTCTAGAAGCAAGTAACATCCACGGTGACCTGAAGAACCTGAAATCTGCCACTTTAAATTCCTGCATTTGAATAAAAACGTCGACCTGATGACCTGGATGTTGGCCTTTTTATTTTTTTTATTGAGGGAATGGACAGGCATAATCCCTGCACACTGGCTTGCTAGTGTGTGTTGGGTCAAAGTCAGTCTCACTCCTCACTGTAGGGATATCCCAAAAGTGCATTGTATGGCAAGTTTTGGGCACGTGATAGTTAAGTGCAGTTACCCACAGAAATATTTTCATGTTATTGTTGGAATAGGACCAAGGCGTGCAAGCCCACATCAGATAAGTACAGGTGGACATTGCTCAACAAGTGCTACGTGCTTATTTCTCAAAACCAATCCAACTTAGTAGCAGAAGTTCCTGTATCACTAAAAGCTGCGATTCTAGACTTACTTCAATATTGTAAAACAACTTGTAGGAAAAAAATTGGAACAAACTGGAAATAACCAGTTTGTAATAAACATTTTTTTTAAAAAAGGGCATCACCTGAATTATTTTTCCCAATTTTTTTTAAATTAAATTATTCTCCCCATTGGTATATGCCTCTCTGCTCTTGGTGCCGCCTCAATACAATACAAATTTATATTTATTTTGTGCCTTTCATGTTGGGTGGCCGTCCCAAGGAGCTGGACAGTCCAGGGTTTGACCTGAGTTGGCGGTGAGGAAGTCAAAGGGGATGAAGGGGAGAAAGGTGGCTGACAGCGTGGTCAAAGAGGAAGTTCTTGAGATGGATTATGAAGGAGTTGAGGGAAGAGCGAGTCGAAGGCACTCCTGGATGGAGTTCCAGAGAGCAGGGTCGTATACACTGAAGGCCTGACTGCCGATGATAGGGATGGCAAGGTGGAGATGTGAAGCAGACCAGTGCCCGTTGAGCAGAGGGAGCTGCTAGCTTGATAGCCTTCTCTTGCTTGCTGGGGTTCCACTGATTCTGGTTGTTCCCACGATTATTCTTGTAGCCTTGGCAGTGAGTGTCGACAGACCACTCAATAGAAGACATCACAACAAAACTGACATCTCCCCACCCAGCTGCCATACACGCACGCACACACCCACATACAACAATAACTTGTAAATCCTATGTTTCCTCAATGTTGTAGGATGCTGCTGGTATGAAAGAGCAGCCACGTTTGCCTCCATAACAACATTCAATTAATTTTTCATTAATCTCATTCTATAAAGCACTTTTACATGAAAGTGTTATATAAATATAAACTGTGTTTGCATTATCAGGGTCAGGTTTTGGTAATTTGGGACACTGCTGTGCACAAACTGGCTGCTGAGTTTCACCTAAAAAATGCACAGTCAAAACCACTTTACAGTATATTCCTGTGAAGTGCTTTGAGATGTCTTGATGACGTGATAAGACGCTATCTCAAATGCAACGATTATTATATCATCTCATAGACAATCATCTGTCCTGTATCCAAAGTGAACACAGTTCATTTCTGTCAGTGAAACCAGTGGACAGTCTGGCAGAAAACAAGAGGGAATCAATGACTGACAAAGATCAGTGTTTGTTCTTAAAGCTCTAAAAGATTTTTAAAGTAATTTTCTACCATAGCTGAGCATAAAGCACTTTCCTTCCCATTAATGAAGAAATCAAATTAATTTTCTCAATTTTTATCCATGTAACTGTTAGGCTTCAAAATGATTCAAGTGCTGGATCTAATAGCAAGAAGGAGGATGAGATCTTCATTGCCGCCCAGATGCATCAGACAGTGTCGGGATTGAATGCCGAGTTGGATGGTAGGAACGCAAGCTGAATTCTTTCTTGACATTTAGCTAAGTAATGAATAAAATAAAGTGTGCATTCTACAAGTAATCCTATCTAATACAAGAGCATAAATTATTGAAAATTGATACACATGAGAAATAGATTTTGTGCAGCCGCAGCTCAGCTGCTGCTGTTGTACTTATGCCCAAATGCATTTTGAGAAAATGCAATACAATTTATATTCATGTAGTGTTTTCCTTTCACGTCAGGAGGATGTCACAAAATGCTTGTCATAGGTGGATGGGGAGGGGAGCTAGGGGTATGTGGAGGAACTGAAGAGCCGGGGGAAGGGGGGGAGTTTTATAATTATTAGCATTTTCAATGGAAATGAAAAGTTTAAAACCTATATCGTTATATAATCCTGTTTAATGGGCGTCAGCCTGGCTCAGAGGTCTTGCCTCTGAGTCAGAAGGTTGTGGGTTCAAATCCCATGTCGGGACTTGAACTCACACAATCTAAGATGATCCTCCAATGCAGTGCTGGGGGGTGTTACATTGTCGGAGGTGCCATCCTTCGTGTTAGACGTTAATCCGAGGTTCTGTCAGCCTGTTCAGATGGATGTTAAAAATCACATGGCACTATTTAAAAAGAAAAAGTAATTTCTACCAGTACCCTGGCCTATAAATAACCTAAATAAAAAACAATTGGTTACTCCCTCTATGGCTGTTTGTGGGACACCGCTGTGCACAACTGGCTACTGCTTTTGCCCACAAAATACACAGACAGTCCACTTTACAGTATATGCCCTGAAGCGCTTTGAGACATCTCGGCAATGTGGAAAGGCGCTATATCAAATGCAAGGGTTATTATAATTTGGGATATTCCCCTATTGAGAACAAGCTTATGTTTTTGCAGGATGGAATGGCAGAGCTAAGATTGGGAATGTATCACATTGGTATCACAGGCCAGACTGAGCATCTGACACCCTGAGCATCTGACACCCTTGGGTGCAGTTTGATGGGCCATGATGTTTAGGGGATCATCCCTGTGTTTGACATTCAATGCACTGGTGTAGTGCCAGGTCTGTGGCATAAAAAAAACAGTTGTATCAGTGAGAGCCATGAAAAATATACAATAATTGCAACATGTGGAGTGTCAGCATGCATATCTAATCTAATTAGATATGTCTGTCCTTACAGTTCTCAAAATGTAACATTTCTTTTCACCATTCTAATTTGCACCAACTAATACAGTATAGAGTACCTTTGTCACCTCTCGGCTGGACTACTCTAACGCCCTCCTCGCCGGTCTCCCATCCACTACCATCCTTAAAATCCAAATCATTCAAAACTCTGCCACCCGCATTCTCACCCGCACCAAACTCCGCTCCCCGATCACCCCAGTCCTTGCCAGACTGCACTGTCTGCCTATCCCAGAGAGGATCGACTTCAACATCCTCACCCTTGTATTCAAGTCCCTGCACTCCTCTGCACCCCCCCTACCTCTCTGACCTCCTCTCTCCTCAAAACAGTACCCGTTGCCTCCGTTCCTCCGGGTCTGGCCTCTTCCTTGTCCCCTGAGGCCTACGCTCCACCCTCGGTGGCCGTGCCTTCAGCCACTATGCCCCGAGGCTCTGGAACTGCCTTCCTCACTCCCTTCGTCTCGCTCCCTCCCTTCCCATTTTCAGGTCTCTGCTGAAGACCTTTCTTTTCGACCGCGCCTTTGGTCACCTTCCTCCCCCTCCCCGTGGCTCGGTCCTGGGATCCGTTTCTGTAAAGCGCTCTGAGACGCCGTCCGGCGTGGAGGGCGCTATATAAATCCAAGTAGTTGTTGTTGTCAGTATGCATGTTCCGTTATACGCATTTCAGCTCAGAGAAAGTCATGCTGTAATGTCAGAGAAAAACATTTAAGTCAGGATTTTACTCGAGTGGCCTGAGGTGGAGATGTCTGATCCAGGTAACTACATGGTTAGAGAGAGACATACATAAACACAAGCACATATCGTTAGAGAGGCACTCAGAGAAGGACACATGTACACACACATAATTAGAGTTAGAGAGGTGAATGAGAGAGAGTCACACAAACACAATTAAAGAGGCAGAGAAACAGACACAATTGGAGAGGTAGAGAGAGGTGAGAGACACACAATTAGAGAGCCAGAAGACAAGAGAAAGATACACACAAATCGAGACCAGAAAAAGAGAGACACAAACACAATTAGAGTCAGACAATGAGACACACACACGTAATTGGAGAGGCAGAGAGAGAGAATCAAGCACGTTCAGAATGAGACAAATAGAGAGTTGAACTCAGAGTTAGAATATGATAGTTTGAGAGAGTTGAAATGTGAGAGAGAGAGAGGGGGAAGGGCTGGCGATGTGTGTTCTTTAGTTGTAGTATAACTTGTGCTGGAAGAGTGTTTGGTTAGTACATACAGTACATTGGAATGACCTCATTGCTACTGTTGTTATTCGCACAATGGGACCATCCCGATTAGAAGGGATATGGGCTCTAATGCATTAGAAAAAGTAGTTGTTCAACTGGACAATACCTTATATCAAACACATTTTTAGAAATACATGTTACTGTTTCAAAAAATAGAACAAATATTATTGCTGATTCTAGTCTGGTTAAGAAAACTTGTGTAGTAGCTTGTCATTAACCTTTCTAACAGTGAAGTTTTAAAAGAGAATGGTATTCTTTAATCTGGAGACCGAAATTTGTTGTTGATTTATTTAAGACATAGGAACAGCAGGGTATTAATAACTAAAAAGATTAGCTTTCAGCACAGTGTTGGTGCACAATAAATGCACATCTGATTACACTTTTGCCATTAGGTCATATATTTTGTTTGGAAAAAGCATTAAAGTTCTGGCTGAGACATGCTGCAGCTATACTGTGAATTGTAGAACATTTTATGGCCAATTGCCATTGTTCCTCTCTCTATTGTGGCATTCTTTATTAACCAATAACTACATCAACTAATTTTTCAACAAAATGGCTGTGGGGTTCTCAAGGCACCTCATTAATTGGGAAAATTTAAGAACCTATAATCTCCGGTAGACTCAGTATTGTTCATCTTAGAAGAAGTCCATTGAGCTCATTATGCCTGTGCCAGCTCTCTGTAATAGCTATCTAAGTCATTGCACCACATAAAAACATGAGTTCAAATATTTCTCCAACTTGCTGACAAATTTATGTTTTGGCATGAAGAAACTCGAGGCAGCCATCAGCCATGATCTGATGATATTTATTGCCTGGGGGATATTTAACAATATGAATTCTATATTCGTTATTAATCTTCCATTGGCAATGCCGTTTGATCTGGTCATGTTGGGTAATGTCTACACTTGGCCCTGATTGGTGAAGATACAGTACTACAAGGTACACTCATTCATTGATCCTTCAGGAACTGTACTTTTCAAGCATTGATCATTGAAGAATTTGCAGATGAAATGAGAGACATAAAATATGGTGCCTTTGGTGTCTGAAGAAACAAAAACTGTTGCTAAGCAACCTCTCAGCCTTAACCCAGGTAACATGCGCTGTCATGTCTGTATCAGCCACCTCACCTCTAATGAGATCATGTTTAACTTGCTGTCACCTGTTAATGAGCATTACTTTTTGCCGGAATAATTGATGGTTGTCATAATTTCGACCGGTGTAGCCAAACGTTTTCTCAAAGCTTCATAAACCCCTATTCTGCCTGAAGTGTAGCAGTACATTAATTTGCCTCTAACAAATTCATGTTTCCTAGATTAACTATGCTTCTATCACAGAGCTAAATATACTGCTTCAAAGTTATGAAAGTATACAATAATGAAAAGAAACAATGACATCTTGCTTCTTATTTTTCACCTGTACATGGCTATCAAGTCAAAACAGGAAACTGAAAATAACTTGTTTGGCACAGTTTATATCTTGATGTTTACAGCAATTTTTTTTAATTCGCAGACTCAGCGTAAGATTTTCTCTAGGGGCACTATATAAATGCAAGTTGTTGCTGTTGTAAGATACAGCAACAACCTGTATTTACATAGTACCCTTCACATGGGTAGCATCTCGGAGCAGTCGACAGCAGCAGAGTTTGATGCTGAGTCAGCGAGAGACGGGGGAAGATCTTCAGATGTGATCTGAAGACAAGTAATGAGGGGGCAAAGTGGAGGGATTGAGGCAGATTTCTAGAGTTTTAGGGCATAGTGGCTGACAGCAAGGCCGCTGATGGTGGAATGGGCGCAGGTAGGGTGTAAGCAAGTTGGAGAGGTATGGAGGTGTTATGATGTGATTTAATTCATAAGTTAGGGTGGGAGGATCTTGAAATCGATCTGTTCAAGTGAAGGTGGCGTGCGGGTAGTGGAGTTGGGTGTAAGAAGGTAGGAGGGGCAAGGGTGTGCTAGGGTGTGAATTGATTTGTAAGTTAATATGTGAGAATTTTGAAATCAATCCATTCTGCAATAGGTAGCTAGTGTAGCCTGGCAAGACCGAGGGTTACGTAGATAGTTTCAACAACATCAACAACAAAATTACATTTGTATAGCGCCTTTCATGTCGGGAGGATGTGAAACAGGCTGGAGCTCTCGGAGATACTATCCTGCATGAAGGGAGCTAAATAAGTGCAAGTTTTTATTATTGCTGTTGTTGTTGATGGTTATGTTCTTTTTAATGATTTTAACAGATATACAGGAGGAGTCAGCCTTGAGAACATCTTTCTTATTGCCTGAAGAAACCAATAAAAATGTGGTGGCTGATGTACAAGATTCTGTCCCAGTGACCAACATCAGTGAGGCACCCAGCAGTTCCCATAAAGAAAATGAGAGGATTTTACTGGAAAATGTAACCATGGCTACCGAAGTAAAAAGATCATTAGATAGTGAACATGGAACTGTACAAACAAAATCAATGCTTGGAGCTTTACCAACTAGGATTCAGGTGCAGCCACTATCTGAGGTTTCATCAGATCTGTCTTATTTAAGTGCTGTCAGGTGCACAGACACCCATAAAATGCCAATAAAAACGTCAAGAGAAAACCTGCTGGGAAAGATCAGCAATGTTCAAAATAAGCCAAGTGAGAACAAAATAAAAATGCCCTTGCCTGACACCGATCTGAAGTCTAAATTGCAGTTTAGAGAGAATAATGGGAACAAAGTCCATGATACTGTACCTGCAGAGGTTGACCCATTAACAGTGCAAGCTAAACACGGTGTTCAATCACTGAGGAATAGCCAAGCAGATCGTCAAGAGCAAGTTGAGAAGCCTTCAGCAGCAATGATTGCAACAGAATGCAAAGTCGCTTCAAATAAATGGCAAAGAGCTGCCAACAAAATTGCAAATCAGTGTGTTCCAAAGGTGGGAATGAGAACATTCAAAGTGATTCCATCAAAACCAATTCTAACGCGTCAACAAAGAGAAGGCAAGTCGTTATCTACAGGTGCTATTAAGATAGATGATCAAGGCAACTTAGTCTATGTAAACGACAGTGAAAGCCAACATGTAGAAACTGCATCAGTCAGATCAACCACTGACTCTGAGGAGTCACTGTTGGGGAGAGCAAAGGCATTCTGGAATGTGAAAGGTACTGATAAAGATAATCTGCAGACTGCAAACCCAACTACAGCAATAAACACAACAGGCTCTGTGGCTTGCAACTTACAAATACAAGAACCAGCAAAGCAACTAACAAAGGTATCTTCCAATTCTGGATTAGTTTCTACACAGCCAACAATTGTAGATAGAAAGTCACTTAAAATCAATTCACAGTCCACTGAGACAAAACCACCTACGTCAGTTTTACCGGTGAACGTGGCAAAGGCGAGCACACCAGCAAACACAGACTCCAGAGCAGAAAGTAACTTTCTCAAACCTTATAGAAGAACTTCAAGCCAGTATGTTGCTTCTGCAATTTGTAGATACACAGGCATGCAATCCATTAAAGCTGGGCCTAATACTCAATGTGATCCTGTATTTGAAATCAGAGCAGAAGATAACCAGAATGTCAGAGATGGTGTACAGAAGTCTTTCCTGGTGCCTTCACATTTGGATTCTATAGGAAGTCAAGTAAACTCTGGGTCTGCCCTTCCCTCCAATTGGAGCACTGTAAATCTCAGAAAAGTGAACAATCAGAAAAGTGTTTTGCTACCAGAAGCTAAAGCTGTCCCAGATGATAATCTGTCAGTTAAAACTCTGTCAAATCAAAAGAGACCTCTCAGTTTCCCGAATTTTACCACCCACTCACAACTATCTAAGACAATAATAAAGGAAACTGTTTCCATTGAAGAGCAATATCTCCCTCCAAAAAATCACATGTCACAAAGTATGCTGCATTCATCTGATGAGAAAAGGAAGAGCTCCACTGCCCCAACGTCTCAGACGGTGAAAACACTAGTGAGTGCTCCAGCAGCTCCAACTTCAGGTTCACTTTCACGAAATGTACACTCAGTTACATTTCGCTCTGTGGTTGCAAGACAGAGTGCTTATGTCTCATGTCATCCATCTGCCTCGCATCTGCCAGCAGTATCTCCTACAACCTCATCTGTTATCGAAACTCCATTTTTAGAGAAATCGGACCCTCCCCCTGACACAAAACAGCTTGAGTTTATATCTAATAGTAACATGTTTGGTCCTGTCAAAAAATTCAAGTCTGTTATTCAAAAGCCAGTTCAGAAGGACGAGTCAATACACAGTTCTCTAATGGAAGCCATCCAGTCAGGAAAACAACAAGAAAATCTTAGAAAGGTACAGCAGCTTTTTTTAACCTGTGTTCTGACTTGTTCCTTTCATGAAGAATCCAGATGCTTCAGTTCAGTATTCCCGTCGCTGATAAACATAATGTTTCTGCACTTTCTTTTTGCCAGGTTTCTGATACACTGATAAATGCTAACCTGAAAAAGCCTTCGTTCATTGAGACAGAGAATGGACATTCGGCACTCCTGGCATCAATTCGAGCCCACACTGGAGTTTTAAAACTGAATAAGGTATGAAAAACTTAAGACAAGCAAGGCGAGATTCACAACAGAACATCATATTCTTATTAGCTATCAGGTTGTATTGTTCACTTTCTCCTTTAATGGGCATATCACTGAAAATACAGTACAAAATGCAACACATCAATGTATCAGTGTTTTAAAAAAAACTTTCTGATTTTTTAAAATGATTGTACTGTATTAATCCAAGTCAAAATTTCATAAACCAATTTAAGCACAACCCTATGTTGGGGGGGGAAAAAAAAATCGGGACACTGACAATGCAACTGTGTATCCTAAGAAAATGGGCGCTATTCAAGTCTACAACAACTTGCATTTACATTTACCTAGCACTTGACGGTGGCGGAGTCTGACCCCGAGCCGGTGGGAGGTGACTGTGAGCACCATCAAAATGGAAGGTCTTAAGTCCTGGTGTTGGCCCAGATGTTTGATGTAGACCATAGAGATATTTTTTGCATCGTACAGGATGGTAGTTCTAAATTTTCGCTGCCAAATGGAAGCTGTAATTTTCTCTCAAATTCTAAATTTTTACCTTCAGCTACTTTTATCCTCTCAAAAACAGGCAGAGGATTGACCTCCTCCATGTCCCGCACTCAATCTGTCCCATCATTGGTAAGCGGGCTTTCAGCCACTTGGCACCCGCTCTCTGGAACTCCATTACCGGGTCCCTCTGACTTGCTCCCTTCCCCCTCCTTTCAAGGTCCCCCTCAAAACCTGTTTAACAGCACTTCCAGTCATATTTCCCCTCCTCAGCATTCACCCTAGCTCCAGTGCTCAGCCATAACTATCAAGCACTTTGGGACATCCTCCAATGTGAAATATGCAGTTTAAGAATAAATTGTATTGTAGGGGTCAAAGAAGTCCATAATGTCTCATCTAAAGATATGACCCAGAGTGAGAATGTTTATCTGATTCCACTTCATTCAATCAATTGGCTGTTCACCAAGCCTAATTAAGAAAAAGTTCCACAATGCCATTTCTAAGAGAACGGAAAGGAGGGGACTGCTCTCACAATCTAAAAAAACAGTCTGGACAAAAGTGTTGAGATATGGAGACACAGCTTAACTTCAATCAAATATTATCAAAACAATTTAGATGGGTGTGAGTCGTAAGTTTAGATGTTATGTGATGGGTGGACTGGTGGAAAGCTAGTATGTACACTCCTTTTCCTTCCATTGACAGCATAAACTTTACAATGCCCTGTAACATGAAATCTTCCTGTTCCTAGGACACACTGAAAAACTCTTATTGAGGAGTGTGAGAGACAGAAAATAAAAAATTGTATTTTACTTTTTTTATTTTGGATCTAGCCTTATGTTTAGTATTAGAGATGAGCTATGAGGAAAGACAGGATAATATGTAATCACAGCATATTTGGTCACTCAATCAACAATTGTTTGTGGGACATTGCTGTGTGCAATTGGCTGCTGAGTCTCGTCTGCAAAAAAATACACAATTAATTCACATTATAATATGTTCTGCGAAGTGTTTTGAGATGTCTTAACGGCATGATAAGGCGCTATAACAAATGCAAGTATTATTATAAACTAGGGCTCTTTAGCCTTGAAAAGAGGCACCTTGGAAGGAATATTATAAGGGTAAATTCGATTCTAAATGGGATAGAGAAAGTAAACCCACAACATTACTTTCAGATGGTGCTAGGGCAGCAAGGTACAAGGACACAGATTCAGGGTTGTGAAGGGCAATTTTAGGACAGGCACTAGGAGGAATTTCTTTACACAGAAGTAACTATCAGCTTAAATGAATTACTAGGTGTGGTGGAGGGCTGGATGCTTGATTCATTTAGAAACAGTTTAATGAGATTACTGGAGCAGTGGGTTTTCTGGAAGAATGAGAATGGGTAGAGGATCCTCTTCCTCTGTACCTCTCTTATGATAGGTGAAAAAAGTTATATGTAGTTTATAAAAGGTCTAAATATGAGGTGTATTGCATTGGCCCTATTTTGTTTAGATCATTTCAAACCAAATTAGTCTTAAATTACAACACGCTTAAAATGTAAAACATGTTGATTTATAGGTTATTCTCAATACTAAATAAGTGAGGGAAAATCAGACTCTTTATGATGCTATGAAGCCACTGAATTTATTTTTGTGGCATCATTTTAGGCTTCGTGTCTAGACCAATTGATTATTTTTCCATTTACAGTTGTTAATGAAGATGATAATAATAATAATCCTTGCATTTGATATAGCGCTTTTCACGTCTTCTCGACGTCTCAAAGCCCTTCACAGAATAGACTGTAAGGTGAATTGACCCTATATTTGTGGGAAAAACGCGGCGGCCAATTGGGCACAGCAGTGTCCCACAAACAGTCGTGGATTGAAAATGACCAATTTATTATTGTTTTGTTTTGGAGGTGAATGTCAGTGGAGGGAAAGGAACTTTTGGCAGCATTAAATATTTACAGTTAAACATTTAAATAATACAACAACTTGCACTTATAGCGCCCTCCAAGCAGAGTAGAGTCTCAGAGCGCTTGACAGTGGCGGAGCCTGACTCTGAGCCGTGGGGAGAGGGGAGGTGGCCGTAAGTATGGTCGAAGAGGAAAGATTTCAGGCGGGACTTGAAAGAGGGGAGAGAGGAGGCAAGGCAGAGGTATTGAGGGAGAGTGTTCCAGAGTTTTGGGGCATAGTGGCTGCAAGTGCGACCTCCGATGGGGGGGTGGAGGGTGCGAGGGACGAGCAGAAGGCCAGTGCTAGTTAAGCGGAGGGGCCGGGTGGTGGACTGAGGAGTGAGGAGGTTGGAGAGGTAGGGAGGTGTCAGAAGGTGAATGGATTTGAACACGAGAGTGAGGAAATTGAAGTCAATCCGTTCGGTGATGGGGAGCCAGTGGAGCCTGGCCAGATAATAATCTTTACATTCTGCATAGTGTCTTTCACGTCAGGAGGACGTCCCAAAGCACTTCACAGGAATTACCGTGAAGTGGAATGACTATATTTTTGTAGGTGATCGCAGCAGCGCAATTGCACACAGCAATGTCCCACAAACAGCCATGGAGTCCAATTTTATTTGGGGGATTGTTGACCAGGATACCAAGAAAAACTCCATTCTCTTTCAAATAGTATTGTTGGGTTCAAAGATACCATTAGTAGTGGAGATGACCGGGTGGCGTCTGGGACAAAGGTGTGGGCAGAAAAGACCAGTTATATTCTGTTAGTCAAAATTTTATATAAGGAACCCATGAACAGAGGAACCAAAGTCGCTTGTGTTTTATATTTTAAACTAATTTATTTAATAAGGCAGAATAGTTGCATTTGTTGAATGACATAGTTACAATCCGCAAGGTTACGATGTTATGCTCACTTAAAGCAATGTTACTGTAAGAACAATATCGAAGTCCATAAGTTCATAAACAGTGGGTGAACATATCTTGCTTGGGTTCGTTCAAAGGTACAGTGATTCATACAGCCAGTAGTGGAATTAACAACTCTGTTGAGCCTGGGAAGTACAGCCAATATTAGAGTTAATGCACTGTTGAGTTGATAACAGTGGGCGTCATATCAAACAACCAAAGATCTTGTCTCTGGAACATTGATAATAACAGGCGTTGAATAAAAAACAAAAGCTGAATCTCTAGCCGTTGTGTTGCAGCTGTATTCTCATAGTTCTTCTCTTTTGCTTTTTTCCGATGTTGCTGGAACTTCTGCCTTCCTGGAGGAGTGAAAAACATAGTTGTTCTCTCACGAACTTGAACCAAACACGTGGGATGACCAACTCAGACTGAACAGAGTACAACTTAGCTATTACCTCTTTTATAATTGTTCTTGTTTTAAACATCAGGATGATCTGTGCGAATCTGCATGTTCTCACCCACCTACTAGTTGTTTTCAGGCAGGTTTAAACAAGGTGAGACGGTCCTTGAGTACAGTACCCATCAACTGATTCAAATTTAAACAATGCAGAACCGTTATATCAACAACTAACAAGAGAGCTGCAGCTGCAATAAACACATTTCTTACTTCTGAACCATTTAACTCCTCAAGGCATACATGCTGTCATTTTCCATAACGTTTTATGTAAAGTTATACCAACTACACCGTAACATTCATCATGCTTAATAACAACAACGAATTACATTTGTATAGCGCCGTTCACGTCGGAAAGACGTCCCAGGGCCCTGGACAGTCAGAGGTTTTGGACCCGAGTTGGGAGTTGGGGTCAGAAGGGGAGGAGGTCAGGGGGGTGGGAGAGGGAGCGTGGCTGAAGACACAGTCAAAGAGGAAAGTCTTCAGTCAGGACTTGAAGGATGCAAAAGAGGGAGTGAGGTGGAGGGATTGCAGGGTAGAGTTCCAGAGATCCTGAATGCCCGATCGCCAATAGTGGGACGGGAAGTGCAGGGGACCTGAAGCAGATCGGTGTCCACAGAGCGGAGGGAGTGGCCAGGCTGATATGGGGTTATGAGGTCGGAGAGATAGAGTTGGGTGTCATTTGCATACATGTGGAAATTGACCCCATCCCTGCGGATGATATTGCCGAGTCAGAGCATGTATAGATTGAGGAGGAGCGGACCGAGGACAGAGCCCTGAGGGACGCCACACATGACAACGCGGGGGCTGGAGGAGAAGCCATTGGTGGCCACGAAGAGCAGACGGTGGGAAAGGTAGGAATTGGAACCAGGCAAGAACAGAACCATTGAGGTGGAGGTGAGAGCAGAGGTGGGTGGAGAAGAATAGTGGTCAACAGTATCGAAAGCGATCGAGAAGGAGGGGGTGCAGAGAGAGCCCTGGTCGCAGGTGGACAGAATGTCATTTGTCACTTTGATCAGCACTGTTCCTGTGAGCAGCACGAAACCCAGACTGGAGGGGTTCCTGGAGGGAATGCTGGGAGAGGAAAGAGCAAAGCTGGGAAGCGACAACTCATTCCATAGAAAAGAAAGGTTTGAAATGGAGTGGTAGTTGGAAAGCAGAGATGGGCCAAGGGAAGATTTTTTGAGGGTAGGGGTAATGACGGCTGTCTTCAGGAGGATGGAT